GTGAAATGTCTGTCCTGTTGTTTATACTACATGTTTCGGCTACTATACAGCCATCACCAGGTCAGAACGTGAATTACTGCACTATTCGCAATATAAAATGTTATACCGCTATAATTTATTCCCTAAAGAACCTTAAAACGTATGATTTGAGGTTTTCACAACGCCCTGATGACGGAGGCAGTATGACCTCCGAAACGTTGGTTAACATCGACCAGACTACACAGCGCAACAACCCAGAAGACAGAAATCTTCATACTCTGATGACGGAGGCAGTATGACCTCCGAAACGTTGGTTAACATCGACCAGACTACACAGCGCAACAACCCAGAAGACAGAAATCTTCATACTCTGATGACGGAGGCAGTATGACCTCCGAAACGTTGGTTAACATCGACCAGACTACACAGCGCAACAACCCAGAAGACAGAAATCTTCATACTCTGATGACGGAGGCAGTATGACCTCCGAAACGTTGGTTAACATCGACCAGACTACACAGCGCAACAACCCAGAAGACAGAAATCTTCATACTCTGATGACGGAGGCAGTATGACCTCCGAAACGTTGGTTAACATCGACCAGACTACACAGCGCAAATACCCAGAAGACAGAAATCTTCAACCTTAAAACGTTTTAAACAGAATGCTACACTAAATAATTGAAAATCTTTAGACCCTTTCCACTAAGAATCCGTTTTAGTATTATCCCAGTATCTACGACTAGGTCTCCCGAGCGGAGTAGACCTTAATAAGATCTACATTTTATATTCCGTACCAATTCTTTGAGCGACAAGCCTTTTTAATTACAAAGTTGAAAATGAGTTTCGTTTAATAAGGAGATTATATGGGATTGACATGAATCAAAATTAGTAGCACACTTTAAACAGACCCCTTATACCACATTTCATTGCAATCCGCTGTGTAGTTTCGGAGATGAAACAAGAAGCGGACAAAAGATAAGCGATGAGTTCACCGCTATTAATTTATCTTATACACTTTTTACAAAGAAAGCATAAAGGCAGAGAAATGCTAGATATGACTAACGAATCTGTTTGTAAAGACCATTTTCTTGCAAAGTGGGACGAAAAGCATATGTAAATCTTGGCTGTACGGAAGGCTTTGAGAAATGCTTCTCTGTGCTACTGACGTGCTGTTTGTGTTGTAAACATTCTGGCAGTCATAAAAGTTCAAGGCTTTCAAGTCAGCCTAAATCTGTAGACATAACCAGTTTGAATAACATCATGGAATGCTTAAGCATACGGTTTTCTATTTCACACAAAACTTAATCATCACTTTAAAATGAGAACCGTATTTAAATGTTCAAAATTACAACTCGCATAGGAAGATAGCTGCTTCTAATTACCATTCTTCTTAGTCAGACAGAACGTAAAGTTCTTTTGGGATAAACATACTTTGAGAATGAGTTCCCTGTCAATTTATTTATTCATTAATTATTATCTCATTCAAAGCGGAAGTCTCCAATGGCATGCTATTCTTACCAACTCTAATTAAAATCAGTAATGGGGCAGAGGATTTTTCCGCTAGCCTCTGCGTCCAGACCGGTTCTGAGGTCCACCCAGCCTCCTCTATAATGGGTACTGGGGTCCTTTCCCGGGGGTAAAGCCGGCCGGGGCGTGATGCTGACCACTTACCCCCATCTAGTGCCGAGGTCAAGGAAGAGAGGAGCTATACCTCCACTCACCCCAAGCGCCTACATGGCGTATAGTGGGACAAACTTTACTTTACTTTAATAGTCTATGATATTGATGTCAGAATCATAGACAAATATGTTTCTTGGAATCCTAACCACCAGAAGTATCTACGTCAGAGCTGTGTTACATTCCGGAAACGCAGATTTCACAAAATGCTCATTTTAAATCCGTGTTCACCAAAAAAGTTTGGAAAATGGGGTTGTGCTTGGTTTGTTAGAGACCAACGAAGTAGAAGAAGGAATTCTGTTGGTCAAAAACTAATGTCGTCCCCCCCCCCCCCATCCTCTTTTCAGTGTTCTTTAAAGTTTGTCTTTTGGTACACTTTTTGTAAGTTAACGAACAAACCAACACAAAATTAAAAGACGAACAAGAGATATAAGAAGAGAAGAACGTTCATCTATAAAGAAACAGTGAAGAAAGAACAAGTCAAAACTTTGTAGCTGTTGATGAAAAGAAGAGAGGTTAAAAGAAGATTTAAGGTCTGAAGACATACTGTGTATGTTCTGTCTTGTTTATCTTAGAACTTTTCCCGTCAGCCAAAACTGAAAGTTGATGTGGTGAGGCATGTCATATGTAGCAGTGTAGGATCTTCCCAGGATTCTTTTCGTTCAATATGTCTCGAGAAAATCTATCTTCTCCACGATCTCAATAATCTTAATATAACATGACAGATATTAATGTCGTTTTCAGTGGCAGGTACCAGTAGACAGAAACAAAATTGTATGTACCACGTGTCCATACAGACTTAAGAGTAGACTACTAAGCTGTACACGCAGACGACTTTCAGATTAATTTTCATCAGATTATCAAGAGTTAATTTCATAAATAATGCCCTTCAAATGATAACTTGGTAAAAAAAATTGTTTCTTCAAGACTGAAATCTTCAGGATTGTCTGCCACCGAACCGAGATCCCAGTTACTTTAACACAGTAAATACGATTACATTACATTTGGCTCAAACCAACTTAAAATTATACTTCCATCTAGACCCAGGTTTCCTTGAGTTAATAAAGTATCCCCTCTAATTAAATTCCTCTTTCGGAATCTTACTATTTCCTTCTACAGTCTGTATTTATTTATTTATTTATTTATCCGTTCAATTGCACTATTAAATCTTACACACATTCGAAAGACGTAAAATCACATCTTAGTAAAATCATGTGGAATCTGGGCTGTGACTCCATACAGAATGATTCACCGCCTTAAAACTTCAAATGTCTCACAAAGAAAATAATATTTGTATCAGTAAGAAGATTTGCTGCTTTTGTTAATTAACCCCTCCTAGCTTCGCTAGCAGATTCATGTCTTTTTCTGTGAACTAAAAAACCTACCTTCCAAACCAAGGATAGATATGCCGACTAGAGGTAGTTGAAATTTGAATGTCAATGCAAATTTATTTTTATCAAGCTTATTTCTGCCGAACAGTAGCTATCTGAATGACCATACGCATGCAATTTGGAGGTCAAGGTCACAACAAAATCATTCAAACTGTTTGCCGAATTGCTATTGTATTAATACAAAGTTGCGAATTATTGTGACATTGAGAAAAAGCATAGAAGTTTAAATAAATTTATGTAAATTTCCTGTAAGAGGTTGTATATATTATTATCTCTGAATTTATTCGGGAATTTCTCGTGAAGTATGCATAGAATGTTAACGCCACTCACAATGCAGAGAATTGTTTATAGCGTCACGGCGGGAGTTTCTACCGTCCAGTTCGCAAATAAATCTTTCCTTTCTGCCTGGTGTCAACGTTTCGTGTATTTCTTTTAACTCGAAAGGAACTAAAAAAAGTGACATGAAAATAGTCGTCTAAAACCCCAGAGCGGGGGATTAATCCTTTATGATTTTCCACAGCGACGTTCACATGCTGAAACGTTTTGTTGATACTGGACTGCACGTAGGTTATATTATTTCGAATAATGACAATTAAATTAATTTATTAAAGCGCCTGACAACGGCAAGAATTCCATTCGTAGGAAAGCACTGAAAAGGAAAGAACATATTACGAAAGTATACATACGTAGTACAGTATAAATATGTTACTGAGTACAGATAACAGGAAACCAGACCTAAAAAAAGTCATCTGTTAACAGGAAGTTGTATGAAGTAGTGACAAATGATAGACGCAAAATACAATTTTTGTTGAAGATGGAAATGTTCTTGCGGATTATATTACCAACAGGAACACATATAACTGAGGGACTGTTTGTAGCGAACTTGTAAGTTATCCCATATTATTATATAACAGTCTCTGATTATGACAACAGTTTTTAAAATTCCTTTCCATAAAGACGTGTTAAAAACGAGATTCTCTTTTATAAATCAGGAAATACACAGATGTAGATTCTTAGAAGAAAAAAAATATATATGGAAACTGTAACAGGTAAATATTCTGTCAGTAGTTGTTTAAAAAATACAATTCTCCTATTTAAAGATTTCCGTCTTCTGGGTTGTTGCGCTGTGTAGTCTGGTCGATGTTAACCAACGTTTCAGAGGTCATGCTGCCTCCATCATCAGGGCGATGAGTATGAAGATTTCTGTTTTCTGGGCTGTTGCGCTGTGTAGTCTGGTCGATGTTAACCAACGTTTCAGAGGTC